ATCTTATGCTTGTTTCTTGCTAGCTCTTGTCACTTAACCTGTTTCTGTTTCTGTTTCTTTTTTTCTTTTTCTTTTTTTTCTTTTTTTGTTTTTTTGTTTTTCGAGACAGGGTTTCTCTGTATAGCTTTGGAGCCTATCCTGGCACTCAGTCTGGAGACCAGGCTGGCCTCAAACTCACAGAGATCTGCCTGCCTCTGCTTCCCCAGTGCTGGAACTAAATGAATGTGCCACCACGCCCAGCTCCAGGCCATTTCTTTTAGCTCTTAAGATGTTTTTTCTTAGGTATAAGTTAACCTGTGATTCGCCATCCCAGGTTGCTGTGCCAATAAAAGACAAGTCTTCTTTTTAGCTAACATATACTTCAGAAGGAAAATCTTCAATTTTTTTTTCAAAAATTTATTTAGTGGTACTGAGGATCCAATCCAAAGTAAAATCTTTTAGGACTTATGTTTTTATTTGTGTGTTTGTGTGCCAATGTCTGCAGAGACCAAAGACTTCAGATCCCCTGAGGCTGGGATAACAGGTGTTTGTGAGCTGCCCAACATGGATGCTGGGAACCAAACTCAGGTTTTTAGGCAGAGTAGGAAGCATTCTGAACTACCAGGCCATCTCTCCAGCCCTCCCATAATTAAAAATTTTAAAAACAAACCCTTTTATTCTATGTATACACATGTTTTGTCTGCCTGTGTTTCATATACACGCAGTGCTTGGAGCAGACAAAGGACGGTCTTGGATCCCTAGGACTGAAGTTACAGATGGTTGTGATCTGTCTGCCATGTGGGTTCTGGGAATTTGGAAGAGCAGTTACTTTTAATTGCCAAGCTGTTTCTCCAACCCCATTCCTTTTTTGTAGGGAAGGGACAGTGTTGAGACAGGTTGACAACTGTATACTCCAGTTCTCTTAGCTAGTTGGAGCTCTAGTGGTACCAGTATCCATTGGCAGGATCCAAATGATTGCCTGACAGGAAGGAAACGGGAATGCACATGTTAGATTCCATCCCAGTGTTGCTAAAACTGTATCTACTTCTTGATCTGTTCTTTTATAATAATTTTTTTTTTCCATTCAGGTATACTCTGGAAATGATCAAATTAGTACCACATAATGAAAGTGCATGGAACTACTTGAAAGGGTAAGAGGCTATTTTTACTGGGTTTTTTTTGTTTGTTTGTTTGTTTTCATAAGAGAATCACCAGGCTGCTGCCATCAACATCATGGAATGTGCTCCATAACCTGGTTCTAAAAGAATGCTAAGGGATTCCCTGTGTTGGTATGTCTAATAGTAGAATCAAAGGATTGCCATGGTAATCCCCAGGCACAGTTGTGCCCTTTGTCTTTCCCTTCTCACCTCTAGGCACACATCACCAGTTTTTAGAAGAGTATACAGGAAATGACGGTGCATTTTAATAGTGTTTATAACTCCCCTAGTGATTTGCTTTCTAAGTGCTGAAGGCTCTAGAGTTTGTGTCAAAGAATGGAATACACGCTCATGTATACTCCTGTGGGCTCAGCACAGCAGGGCAGAGTAAACTTGACAAGTTACTCAGATGTGTGGCCAACCTTTCTACTGCCAATGTCCAGTGACAAGTCTTACTCTTAAAAAGGTTTCTAGGCCTGGCCCTTGACATGCCCAGAAAGCTTGACATGCCCAGAAAGCGTGACATGGAGCCCAGTCACACTTGGAGGTACACAAGTACCTATGATCCCCTAAGTAGCTGAAGGTTTGAAGAACCATCTCAAAAAGAAGCAGGGACATCACTCCTGTTCTTTCTTTCTTTTTAACTTTAAGAAAGGTTCTTGGGGCTGGAGAGATGGCTCAGTGGTTAAGAGCACTGACTGCTCTTCCAGGGGACCCGGGTTCCCTTCCCAGCACCCACATGGCAGCTCACAACTGTCTTTAACTCCAGGATCCTACACCCTCACACAGACATACATACAGACAAAACACCCACCAATAAAATAAAAATAAATTTAAAAAATTCTTTTAATTGTGTGTCAAGCAGTTTAAGTTATAAATGATTGTTTAAAAACTTTTTAAGGTGGCTGGGTGTCAGGTGGCACACGCTTTTAGTCCCAGCACTCAGGAGGCAGAGAGAGGCAGGAGGATCTCTGTGAGTACCAGACCAGCCTAGTCTACAAGAGCTAGTTCCAGGACAGCCTCCAAAGCCACAGAGAAACCCTGTCTTGGAAAAAACGAAAAAAAAAAAAAAAAACCTTTTTAAGGTGATCACATTTCTAGCAGACTGTTTTCAGACCATGAAGCTGAAGGTGACCTTGAACTTCTTATTCTCTACCCCACTTTCCAAATGCAGAGATTATAGGCATGCATCACCATGCCTTGTTTATGTGGTGATGGGGACTGAGCTCAGAGTTTGTGCATGCTAGGCAAGCACTCTGCCAACTGAGCTACATCCTCAGTCCAGCTTATTGTATTTTAAAGTAATTTCACTCCACTTTAAATCACCATTAATAAGACCCACATAACTTAAAATTCTTTCTTTTTTTCAACCTCATTTGTTCCTAACAAATCTTCCCTGCCTTTTGTCTGGGGGCTTTCTTTCTCCTTCCGTTTGCATGTGCTCTCTTAGAATGGAGTTTTGTTTTGTTTTAGGATTTTGCAGGATCGTGGTCTTTCCAGATACCCTAACCTATTAAATCAACTGCTCGATTTACAACCAAGTCACAGTTCCCCCTACCTAATTGCCTTTCTTGTGGATATCTATGAAGACATGCTAGAAAACCAATGTGACAACAAGGAGGACATTCTTAATAAAGCATTAGAGGTGAGTCCTGCGGAACAGTGTCTGAGAGTTGGCTCTGCCCATGGCCACTGCTATTGATGCATGCCACTTTTCACATAGTTTCTCAGGCTGTTTCTAGTTCATTTCGTTACTGTGTCCCTGATGTAACTGTTGTAAGATGTCTCATTTTCGTGCTACCTACGTTAAATTCCCATATGCCCTTGAAGTTGAACTAAACATTTACTTGAATACATTTTTATTTTTCCTTTTCAGTTATGTGAGATCCTAGCTAAAGAAAAGGACACTATAAGAAAGGAATATTGGAGATATATTGGAAGATCCCTTCAAAGTAAACACAGCAGAGAAAGTGACATACCAACGAGTGTATAGCAGTGAGAGCGTCTGGACGAAGTGGATGCCGCTTTCTTTCTAAGGGCCTCTAACGCAGGAGTATAAAACTAGAGTGACCATCCCTTGCCTGTGCGCTAAAGTTGTTGCCCAGGTGCTGTTTTTAACAAGAACTAAGTACGATACTCCTGTGTGCTGATGCTGTTCAGACTAGCTCTAAGAAATGAGTTCTTCTAAAGCAAGGTCATTGGAGGGGAGGGTGAAGGACTTCCCATAAAGGAACTGCTGCTTTTGTAGTCTTACCAACATTTAATCCAGTCCCGTAGAATCTACTCTTCTGGAAAGGTGTATGTGCAAGGCTTTGTGCTGGTAGTGACTGAAAGTAACTATGTTATTGATTTGCAGTAACTTAAATCTTGGTGCATTAAACAGGGACTGCAACTGTTGAATAGAGCTGCTGTGCCACACTCACGGTATCTTGCTATCACTGTAACCAACTAATGCCAAAAGAAAGGTTTTATAATAAAATCACATGTATCTATAAAAAACATCGTAGTCATTTGGTTTTTAATTCTAAACAAGGGGCCTAGTGCTTGGGAGACTGAGACAGGAGGATTGCTGCAAGTTTGAGGCTAGCCTGGACTACATAGAGAGGTCCAGGCCAGTTCAGAGTGTGACCTTCTTTTTAAAAAATGGGGGGAGGGGAGGCTGAGCAAGAAAATATCGCTCTAAAACTTGTGATTGTGGTGAGGGAAATGTGAACTTGTTAAAATGGAACTTGGGCCGGGCGTTGGTGGCGTACGCCTTTAATCCCAGCACTCGGGAGGCAGAGGCAGGCAGATCTCTGTGAGTTTGAGACCAGCCTGGTCTACAAGAGCTAGTTCCAGGACAGCCTCCAAAGCCACAGAGAAACCTTGTCTCGAAAAAAAAAAAAAAAAAAAAAAACAATAAAAATAAAAAAATAAAATGGAACTTGGGTCAATTTTTACTATAAGCAACAAAGTCGACTCAAGATAATTTAAATAGTGAATTTATTCAACATGGATAGCTCACAGAGTCATCGCCTCATCTTCTAGAAGTATATCCCAAACTCATGCTATACCAGCAGTTGCTGCTGCCTGACCTGGAACTGGGAGACTGCTGTGGGAGGAACTGTAGTGCTGCTGCCATCTCCAGATCTATGCCACCATCTACAGAATCACACCTGCTATGTGGCAGCAAATCAGCGACTCTGTTCACTCTGTGAACTTGCATTATAGGTAGAAATGAACTTCCTCGACTTCTGTCGCTGCTGACTGCACCTGCTGGAAAGGTGAGAGTGGCTCAGACTAGGTTTGTAGCTCCAGCAGCAGTCCATAAATAAGGGACTTTAGGGTCAGCACACCAAACCACAGCTAATGAGATTACTGTGAAGCATTTTGTCCACGTACACTTGGGAAATAACTTTAAATACGGAAAATATATCACGGTGTTACAGTAATTTTTTCTTTATCAGTGTTTGTCACCTGTAGATCTCCCAAATCTCTAGTTTTGTATTTGAAATTCACTTAAAATACCTTCTCTGTATTTTTTCAGCAGCATCATAGTAAAAACAACAAAACAGACGGCAGCACTACAACATTAAATACGTATTTCTAAAGCATGGGATTGTTTCCCCACCCTTAGCCATTGTCTTAGTCACTTTCCTATCACTGTGATAAACACTGACAAAAGAAACTTAAGGGAAAACGGGTTTATTACTTTGGCTTACTCTCCCAGTGGGATACAGGTCATCATTTCAAGGAAGATCTAGAGGGATGATTGATACCCTGGACAGAAGTTTGGAGAGTGGAAGCTAGAACCAGATGCTAGGTGAAAGCGCCTGCGCGGCCGCGGACGTCGAGTACGCAGCGGGAAGCAGCCACCAGGGGGCAGTCTCGCGCTCTCCTCGCCCCGCTTCCGGCCGCGCAGGCGTCGTAGACTGTGAGCCGGGTTTGGTGGTCGCCAGGTAGGCTCCCGGGAGTGGTGGAGCAGGTCGGGGTTCTGTGGGGCCTTTCCGAGCCTGGACCTCCGACCCAGCCCTAGGGTGGGATGACGCGGCTCTCACGAGGTCCAGCTGGGCCTTGCCTTGGAGCAGGTGGTGGCAGCGGGCCCCTCCAGATGCTTACCTTAGTGTGCACCCCTCCTCCGGGTGATCACCGTGCACCCCCCGCTGTGGGTGCTTTCCGTACACACCCCCTCCCGGTGCTCTCCGTACACCTCCGGGTCTCTCCAAGCGCAGCTACTGAACAGTGTGAGCTGAGACTGTCTGCAGTACTCTTGCTTTCTCACTCTCTCCCTCAGCTCTTCTCCCTCTCCTTCCCTCCTCCTTCGTTAAAAAGCAACATTTAGACGTTTAGGAATTCTGACGTCCCCACCCTTTGCCTATACAAACTAAATAGCATCCAGAATATTTAAAATACTTAATCGGAAAGTGAGATTTAGTCTGAATTGTATTGGTGTAAAGCATTCTGCATATTGGCAGTTCATTTAGTTGCCTTATTTTCTTTGTCTAAGCAGTGAGCATACAGCAGTTGGCCCATTTTTTCACCATTATCAAACAGTCGTGGTGTTTTAAACAGTGCCAGAGAATATTCCTTTAAGCTCCAGACAGCCAGCCGCGGTGCCCGCCCCCACCCAATGACCACTGGGTTCAAGTCCGCCTAGCTCCTGAGCTTTGCTAGATACTGGAAGCGTGAGGATTTGAGGCAGCCCTTCCTCATACACGGGTGTAGTAGCTCTTGAATGGGTGCCTTCACCTTTGAGTCTGTTCCCTTCTCTGGGAAATGAGAGTAATGATTACATCTACCTCTCAGAATTGCATTTGATGTTGTGTGATACTGTGTGAACAGTTAGGCTTAGGGGTGATTGCTTTTTTCTGAGAGTCAGAATGTGAGGATTTAGCTACAATGCTTAAAATACAGTCCATAAGAAACAAATGCATTACTGGCTTGCCAAGTAATGAGGGTCAACAGAGACTTGAAAATACGAATTCTAGGGTCTGAGGAGATGGCTCACTGGTTTAGAGCACTGAGTGCCCTTCCAGATGACCTGGATTCAATTCCCAGCACTCACATGGTAGCTCACAAATGTCTGTTACTCCAGTTCCAGGGCACCCAACAGACACACATGTAGGTGTTTTACCAATGCACATAAAATTTAAAAAAATAAATTATTTAAAAATAAAAAGAAAATACGAATTCCAGATTCCAAAATTTGTACCTGATGTTGATAGCATTTGAGTGTGTTAGCTTTTGTTGCGATGATCAGCTTTTTTAAATGATTTATTTATTTTTGCTTGCATGTATGTCTGTGTGAGGGCCAGGTCTCCTAGAACTGCAATTAGAAACCCTTTTAAGCTGCCATGTGGGTGCTGGGAATTGAAACTGTGTCCTCTGGAAGAGCAGCCAGTGCTCTTAACTCCTGAGCTATCTCTTCAGCTCCACTATCATCAGCTTTTAGAAGAGAAAGGTTTACTTGGACTCAGTCTTGGGAGTTCATTCCATGATGGGTCTTTGTTTGGTGGCCTATCTCCTTCTAGGTCATGTTGTTACTGACCGAAGCTTCCTTTTAGTGGACTCTACGTTTTTAAGGTTCTGCCACTGTCTAGTAGCCCCAACAACTGGAGACCAAGTCTTTAATGACTGAACCTTTGGGGACACTTACCCACCATGAGAGTGAAAGTGACTATGAGGCTGAAGAGTGAGTAGTGGATGTGGACTTATAAGGAAGCCTCTCCTCACTCCCACAATCCCGTGAAAAACCCTGGAAAGGGGTGCAGTATAGCTTGGTGGAGGGTCACGTGCTATGCAAGACACTGGGTTGGATCCCCAATGTGCCACCTCTGTACTCCCCTAAAAAACATTTTTTTTGTTTGTTTGTTTGTTTGTTTTTAAATTGAGATATATTCAGGAAAAGTGTAAATTTACAAAAAAAAAAACTGAATAGATGGTCATAATTTTATTTATTTTTTTCCTTTGGAACATTTTGTTAAAGAAGGAAGATCCTATCTACTCTGTGGAGAATGGATTGGAACAAAAAAAGACCATGCAGGAATCAACTGTAGAAGGCCAGGTAAGAGGGCTGGTGGCAGGTAAAGGGCAGAGTCAGGAAATGGTAGTATGTAGGGCTGGTCCAGGGAGGGAGGAATTGAGTGACCCAGGTTTGTGATATGAATGATGAGTAGGTTGTGTCCCCATGGTCGAGTGGGAGTCCCAGAGAAGGGATGCACTGGGGAAGGAGGGAGTCACCAAGGTCAGAAGTTGAGTCCACTGAGTGTTGGGAGAAAGATTTGGGGATTGTGAGCAGTTAGAGGGCTACCAGAGACACTGCATGAGGTGAGATTACCTTGGCCTGCAACATCCGAGGAGGAATATTATCATCTGATACCAGGTTTGGTCAGCTACAATCCGCTGCCTGGTTTTTTTTTGTTTTGTTTTGTTTTTTTAAATAGCCCTGAACTAAGCAAGTCCTTTACCAGTGAGCTGTAGATGTCGGGTAAGAGATATTTTGTAAGAAAGCACACTTTTGTACTCTGTAGGGGTGGCTGTTCTCACATACACTGGCAACAGAGTTGAGTGACAGAAACAGAGACGGTGCATGGTGTCATACCACTCTCTGCACCTCACATCAGTGATGAGATTATCACTTGATTCTGACATTGACCCCTAGGGGGGAAAAAAAGTTGCAAAATCCTTTGATCTAAGGTCTAAGTTGAGACACACCTCTGGAGAGATGGCTCAGTGGGTAACGGTGCTTGTCACGAAAGCCTGTTGCATCCCCAGAGCCCACTTAAAGAGAGAAGAATCAACTCCACATGCACACTGTAACACGTGCTCGCCAACACCCACACATGGTACACACAACAATAATTACAAAGGTTTGGGGTTTTTTGTTGTTGTTGTTTTGTTTTTTTTTCCAAGACAGGGTTTCTCTGTAGCTTTGGAGCCTATCCTGGCACTCACTCTGGAGACCAGGCTGGCCTCAAACTCACAGAGATCCGCCTGCCTCTGCCTCCCTGCATGCTGGGATTAAAGGCATGCACCACCAACGCCTGGCTTAACAAAGGTTTTTTTGTTTTTTTGTTTTTTTGATTTTTTTTATTAGTTCAAATTAGGAACAAGCTTGTTTCACATATCAATCCCTTCTCCCCTTCTCCTTCTCCCTCCCTTCACTCCCTCCCCTCCTCCCCCCCCATCCACCCTCCACTCCCCAGGCACAGTAGGGCCCTCAACTGAGGCTCCTCAAAGTCCACCACATCATCCTAGGCCCGGCCTAGGCCCTACCCCATGTGTCCAGGCCAAGAGTGCATCCCTTCACGTGGGATGGGCTCTCAAAGTCCCTTCTTACACCAGGGAAAAATACTAATCCACTACTAGGGGCCCCCTAGAGTGCAGAGGCCTCCTCATTGACATCCGTCAGTCCTTACTGGCCTCCCAGACAGCAGTCTGGGTTCGATGTGCTCCCGCTTGTTCAGGCCAGCTGTTTCTGTGAGTTTCACAAGCCTGGTACCGACCCCTTCATTCCTCTCTCTGCAACTAAGTTCCAGAGTTCACTTCAGTGTATATCTGTGGATGTCTGCCTCTGCTTCCATCAACCACTGGATGAGGGCTCATGTTTGTCTTTTTGTGACTGGGTTACCTCACTCAGGATGGTTTCTTCTAGTTCCATCCATTTCCCTGCGAATTTCAAGATTCCATTGTTTTTTTCTGCTGAGTAGTACTCCATTGTATAAATGTACCACATTTTCTCAATCCATTCTTCAGTTGAGGGGCATCTAGGTTGCTCCCAGGTTCTGGCTATTACAAACAATGCTGCTATGAACATGGTTGAACATATGTCCTTGTATGAATGTGCATTATTCCAAGAGAGGAATTGCTGGATCTTGAGGTAGACTGATTCCCATTTTTCTGAGCAACTGCCATACTGATTTCCAAAGTGGTCTTACAAGTTCGCACTCCCTTCATTGGTGTTTTGGTGGCTAGCTTCTTGAGTTCATTGTATATTTTGGAGATCAGCCCTCTGTCAGATGTGGGGTTGGTGAAGATCTTTTCCCATTCTGTGGGCTGTTGTTTTGTCTTACTGACTGTGTCCTTTGCCTCTAAGAAGCAGTGTGAAAGAGAAATGGCAGCAGCCTGGGTGGGAACAGTTGCCATTGCTTTTGTTAAGTCTCTGAAGCTGATCCGAGGGCGAGGCCTGGAGGTTAAGATGAGGGCCTCCAGTCCCTGTGGAAAGAGTGACAAGTGACCTGACTCTGCATCCTGCTGGAGCTAGCTGGAGAGACCCCAGACAGTGGGGTGAATGGGCAAGATGACCTCCGCATGGCCTCTGAATGAAACCAAGGTGAAGGCAGAGTCAGGGCTTCCTGAGCAAGTCCTGATGACAGCAGGAATAAACACCAGCATTTTATTCTATTGTCTAAGTGAAGCTACCGAACTGTCCATTCTAACATTTTGGGATTAGAAGGAGTCCTGTCACTGTGAACAAAACTTCACCTGTGTCCTCACTGGCTTAGAAACAGGAAGGGGAGGTTCTTTATTTACTGACAGGAATGGTGTAAATGTAATAGATTTGGGGGACAAGACTTGAAGCTGAGTTTGGGAGATGTTTTTATTTATTTATTTATTTTTATTTCCTGCCTGTGGGGATTTTGCCTGCATGTATGTCTGTGCACTGCATGAATGCAGGATTTCCACAGGCCAGAAGACACCATCAGATCTTCTGGGATGGAATTACAGAGCTGCCATGTGGAAACAAGCACGACACTGAGAGGGACCCACGCATGTGAATGGAGACCCAGCTGGGAGAAGGAAGAGATCCTGAAGGGAACACTGTCAATATTGATTCGGTCCCCATGCCTCCCAGTCTAACGGTCACCTTGGAACATCTCTGTCCATCACTTTGAGGGGCAAGCATCCTTTGCTCGAGTGTCTATCTCAGGTCTGTCCCCTTCTGGGTCCCTCCACCATGGCCCTGGATTGTTTGGGTCACTACTGCCAGTGTTCCCTAAGTCATCTCTCCAGAAAACCTTGTCACCGTTATTCTCACTCACAAGTTTGTCCACTCTTACTCCAGATTATCTCCAGGGCCTCCTAGCTAATTTCTCCACCAAGCCATCTGTGCACCCACTGAAAAGTTACCTTTGCTTCTTCATTGGGCCGTCACTCAAGGCTAGTGTGCTCAGCTAGCTTAACCGAGGCCCTGCGTTCAATCTCCCTAGCCACAAAAAAAGAAGGCCTAGATATTTTGTTGTTGCTATGTTTTTTTTTTGTTTGTTTGTTTTTTTGTTTTGTTTTGTTTTGTTTTCATCTGCAATAAGTTTAAGTACAAATTCAAAGAGAATGCAACCATGACGTTCTCTGTATGTGTAATAATATGTATAATTTGTAAGAAATTATGGCTCTTTGGGAAAACAGAAATATTACATTCTCTCCTGAGGTCCATGACTTCACTAGCACAGAGAAATAGGCTAGTATTCCAGTAACAAGCATGCTTTACTTCTTGAGTCAACTTTATGTCCACATGGACATATGATTGCCAATCAGCTGACCTTAATAAACACCATGAAATGCAGATCATTGACCAAGTCCATGGATCAAGCCCAAGGTTTTTCACATGCTGGAAGCCCCCTGAGATGTATCACCAGCTTGTTCTTGAGCTGAATCACCAGCTTGTTCTGGAGCTTTTGGATACCTTCCAAGGAGCACCCTCACTTCTCAGCTGCAGGAGTCCCTTGCCTGTTTACTATGCTAGCTAAGCCTCTTTGTCCATCTTCTATCCCAGGCCCAAATATACACATTTACACTTAGGCTATCAACTTAGCATAAGCTCCTGTGTGCGAAAACTCCCAGACATTTGAGCTTGTGATGAAGAATGTCAGAGCAGCTCACATTGCAGTTGTCGTAAGCCTTCACGTGACACCGATGCTGACAGAACCCACAAGTGGGGGGTGACTGCCCTCAGCCCACTAGTGGCATCAGAATACCTCCATGGCAATTGACAGACAATGGTGCTACTCCCTGTCTCATGCTCTGTTGTAGGAACTGACATGGGACAACAACATGGAAACAGGAAAGGTCTCAGCCACAGAGAAATCCCCCGGGGCATTGGGCTGCTCCTTGCCATGGCCCTTATGAATGTGCTTCTTTACCTCTGCCTCAACCAGTTTTTCATTTCCCCTCGTTCTACTGAGGATGCTAGGCGCTGCCCTCATGGTTACTTCAGAATGGGACAGATGAGAAACTGCTCACGCTGGTTATCCTGTGAGGAGCTGAGGAAGGAAGTCAGACAGCTGAGGCGCATTGGGGAAGGAGCCGTGAAGAGAGTAAGTGTTCATGTCTGTGCTGTCGTCACTGTCATCTCTGGGAAAGCAATTTGTTTGGCACCAGGTGCCATGTGCTTGCTGTAGCTGGGAGTCTAAGGCAAGAAGATTTGAGGCTGGGTAGTGGTAGTGCACACCTTTAACTACAGCACTTGGGAGGCAGAGGAAGGCTAATCTCTGAGTTTGAATCTCTGTTCTACAAAGTGAGTTCAGGACATCCAGAACTACACAGAGAAACCCTGTCTTGAAAAGCCAAACAAAAAATAGAAGATTGCTTGGGGTATGGACTTTGAGACCAACAAGGAGAACATCGTGGGATACTGACTTAAAAACAAAAGAAGAAAGAGCCACAAAGGCCCCATTGTTGTAATTTAAGAAAGCGCTATGTGAGCGGAAGGTGTCGGGATCCAAGCAGAGGATTTTTTTATTAGGGAAAGAGATCATAAAAAGGGGAAAGGGAAGTGGGGAGACCAGCCTCTGGAGACAGGAGCAGCAGGAGAGAGAGAAGAAAGGAAAGAGGGAGAAAAAGAGAGAGAGAAAAGGATGTGAGGTGGGCAGGGCCCTTTTAAAAGGGAACATAGTGAATATGCACAGGTGGTGCTCTTAGTGGCTGCAGCTGACGGCATATCCTGTCAGAACCCCAAGGACAGGCCAGCACAAATGCCTGAATACTAACACCTGTGTTTCTGTCCTTGAGCCCAGGAGTCTCAGGTCTGGATCTCTGATATAGTGAAACCATCTGGAGAAAGGGAGGCAGGTGTCTGAAAGAGTACTGTAGGATAGGAGATGGGAACACCTTCAGAAGATGGGCTGGGGATGTAGCTCGATTAGAAGAGTGCTTGCTTCAAGGACATCCTTGACTGTGTGGGGAATTCAAAGCCAGCCTGTGCTATATGAAGCCTTGTCTCAAAAAGAAAAAATAAATAAACACACATGTTTTTAGAAGCTTAGTTAATTGTGTAGCCATTAGGTGTAGATAGGAACTCTAATTAGTATCAGGAAAAGTAGAAGTAAAAAAGAAAATTGTGTTACCCAGTTGTAGAGAATATTGTTTTCAATTGCAAAGTTACATAGTTATGTAAGAAAATACAAACATGATAGGCAGTTATAGAGTTAAAGAGAGCTCTGAGCTTTCAGCACAGCACAGCACAGCAGACCTTAGTGTGCCATTCCTGCTCTGAGACAAACATTTCTTCAAATACGCATTGTCTTAGCTAGTGGTCTTATTTTATGAGTTAAGAAGACAGAAGGCTCCACAAACAGCGTCCTCCCCACACGCATCACCCTGACTCCCACGACTTTGCTTACAGAATGGTCCCCCTTCCAGGATCACCAGTCTTTCCCATCCATCCTTCATTCCTGTCTGTGTAAAAACAAGCACACTTTTCCAGATAGAAACTCCATTCTATCAATTGCCAGGTCCTCTGTAGCCGCCGCTCTTTCTCCATTTCTCCGATGAGAGAGCTCGTTCACCACCTCCACCTCCCCTGCTCTCTGTCATTTTCATCCGCTCCCAGTGCGGCCTCCAGCTAACTGCAAGTTGAATATTGCTTTCCTCTTAGTCCCTTCATCAACCGTGAACTCAGTGCTTTTTGCCCTCAGACTCTGGTTTTCTAGGATAGCATGCCTCTCATCTTCCTCGACCCTCACTCCTGCTTAACTCCTTTACCTTCTCTTTCCTCGTCCCACCAGGTGATGACTGCAGTTTGGAAGTAGACAGCAGTGCATACAGACACTTGTGGTTGTCGATACTGGAGGGGGGAGCTGTTTCTGGCACTCGGTTGGGTGGAGGCTGGGGACACTGCCAGGCGTCCTGTGCCACACAGGGAAGGCCTGTCCCTTAATAGACAGCTGTCTGGACTGAACGTAGCAGTGCTGAGGCTGAGGAAATGTCTCTAGATGTAGTCTAGTTTCTAGACCTAGTCTAATTCTATTGCTTTTATATATTTAATAAACTCCCAGATGGTTCTCTCTAGTCCTGTCTCTCCCTGAGTCCTAGAGCCATACAATCAACTGCTTATTTGACACCTCTACTTGGAGTTCTCTGAACATGTCAGTATGCCCTCTGTGGAACTCTTGTTTGTTTGTTTTTCCTTTTGAAGAAGAGTCTTAACTGTATGGTCTTCTAACTTGTATGTGTCACTATATCTGGCTTGGTGTGGAATGCTTGATAATCTCCTCCGTGGGGCCTGCTGTTCCCCCTCTTAGTAGATTGTATCACTTTCCACCCAGCTTCTTGAGAATCATCTGGGAATCATCGTTGAGTCCTCCTACCACTTCTGGCAACCCTGTGCTCTTTTACAGTGAGGTACTCACAGCTCTGAGGTTCTGTGTAGACTTTAGAAGAGTCTGTGGTGTCCTCCTTGAGCCTGCTCTTCCTTCCTTCTCCATCTCAGGTAGCTGCTCACCTTGCTGGGTCACAGCTCTGGGATGTTAGGGACTGGACTGTATCTGGTTCATTTCCATGCCCTCTGCACCATGCCTGCCTCCTAGGAGGTGTTTGTTTCTCAGCATGCCTTTGTTGCAACTCCGGTCTGACATTCTCTGTGGCCCTGTTTCAGGTCTTTCTGTCTGAGTGGAATGAACACAAAGTCGCTCTCTCCCGGCTCACTGGGCTGGAGATGAAGGATGACTTCCTTCACGGGCTGCAGATGCTCAAGTCTCTCCAGAGCGAGCACGTGGTCACGCTGGTTGGCTACTGCGAGGAAGATGGCACCATTCTTACCGAATATCACCCCTTAGGTTCCTTGAGCAACCTGGAAGCAACACTAAACCTTCCAAAGTACCAAGATGTGAACACCTGGCAACACAGGCTGCAGCTGGCCGCCGAGTATGTGGGCATTATTAACTACCTCCACAACAGCCCGCTGGGCACGAGGGTCATGTGTGACTCTAATGACCTGCCCAAAACATTGTCCCAGTATCTGCTGACAAGTAACTTCAGCATTGTGGCAAACGACCTGGACGCCCTGCCCCTGGTGGACCACGACTCTAGGGTACTTGTGAAGTGTGGCCACAGGGAGCTCCAAGGAGATTTTGTGGCCCCAGAGCAGCTGTGGCCTTATGGAGGAGAAAGGCCCTTCCAAGATGACATCATGCCCTCCTATGATGAGAAGGTTGACATCTGGAAGATTCCAGATGTCTCCAGTTTCCTTTTGGGGCACGTGGAAGGGAGTGACATGGTTCGATTCCATTTGTTTGATATCCATAAGGCATGTAAGAGCCAGATCCCTGCAGAAAGACCCACGGCTCAGCATGTTCTAGACACTTACCGGAAGGTTTTACATTCACTCAGAGACACTGTGATGTCTCAGACAAAAGAGATGCTGTGAAGAGAGATCATTGATGCTGAACGGCATCCCCACTGTTCTACTCTTGGTGATGGACGCGCTTTCATGAACCTTGCGTTTTGTTGACTTTGGCTGTTCAGCCACGCAGGCTCTCCCCTACATCTGCCTGCACGTTTGTTTGAGTGTGCTCTGCTCTCCTGGCAACCTGGATAGAAGTTTCCAAGAGGGAAAACCTTGCTTGGATGCAGTTCCTAGTGAAGACACAGAGAATTTGTGGATTTATAGAGTATTTAAAGGAAGTAATAAAACGGTAATCATGAGGACACATTGCCTACTTGGGTAACCATGTTTATAGACTGGTAGGATGTGGAATTTTTTTTTTTTTTTTTGAGACAGGGTTTCTCTGTAGCTTTGGAGCCTGTCTGGGAAATAGCGGAACTCACAGAGATCCGCCTGCCCCTGCCTCCTGAGTGCTGGGATTAAAGGTGTGCACTACACCCCCATGGAAATGGAAATCTTTAAATGACCACCTGTGAACAAACACACACTAGTTCTTCGGAGAACATTTTCTCCTAATTTAAGAAGTCCTGTTAGAAGCTGGGGGTACATAGCTCAGTGGTCAGGCACTTGCTTGGTTCTCTGCAAAGCCCTGGATCTGACACGTAACATGTGCACTCATTTTGGCTGTCCAAAGTGCAACCCTTGTCAGTGAGGTCATTGTCACTTTGGATATGACTTTCTGTGAAGCTTCCATGCTGTCTCCTCAACTGAGGCACTGTGCTGTGGCAGCATGCTCTTGAGATTGTGAATGGCTAGGAATGTTGGGAGCAAGCTGAGGGAACTTTCTTACCGTGTAGATGGTGCTGACCTGGGATTTCTGTGTGAGCATTTCATATCCTGTGTCCCTCTTTACCAGAAAGTGTTTAGCCTCCCCTGGGTTTGCACAACTGAACACTTAAAACAAGACAAAAACAAAAAACAAACAAGAATGATAGTGTACACTGTAATTCTAGCATTTGGGAGACAGAGTGGAAGAACTAGGAGTTCAGGGCTATTGTGGGCTATATACCACAACCCTGTCCATCCATACCACTCCTCCCCCAGTAAAAAAAAAAAAAAAAAAAAAAAAAAAAAAAAAGGTCTCTCCTGCGGTGCTGGCATCCTTATCTTGGGCAACATGAGAGATTTAGTGTGTGATTATGGTCATTCAGGAGGTGCTTCTGTCTTTCCCTGAACTTGAGCAGGAGACAGAGCCACCTGGAGTCACAGATCAGGGCCTACCTCAGAGTTTCTGGCTTCACAAGTCTAGAGTGAAGTCCAAGAGTTTTCATTTGTGACTGGTTCCTGTGCTGCTACTGCTGACGCCACTGCTTGAGATGAGTTGCTCCACAGGCCAAGAAGTAGGCAGCATCAGTACTGTGTTGTCTTCTGTAGCCTGTGGCTGACTAGGGGGTGAGCTTGCCCAGGGTATCTGAACTGTCACTGTGAAGCACACCGAGTACTCCATTTGCTTTGGGATTGTTGTCTTATAAAAACTCCATTTCACCCACTGGCTAGGAGGTAGAGTAATTGGAACCCTTACTATGTTGCTAGTGGGAGCCTAACAAAGCAAAAGCATGTTGGAAAAACATTCAGGCAGTTAGTTCCTCAGAAAGTTTAAAGAAAATTATCACATGACCCATCAATTCTTCCAAGTATGTACACAGGAGGGTTGAAATAATGACAACATGTTTACATTATTCATGAGCGTTGATGGTGCAATTATTGATAATAGGCCAAAGGGGGGAAAATGACTCAAATGTTGGTCAGTAATAAAGTTTACACACACACACACACACACACACACACACACACACATACATATGTGTCCATATAGTGGAATATTATTCAGCATTAAAGAATAACATTCTTTTGTATGCTACAGTGAGTAAGCCTTGAAAACATACTGCATGGAAGAAGCTGCTCATAGAAGATGACGTGTTACATAATTATATCTGGATCATCCAGGTCTAAAACCATGGAAACAGGAGGATCGGTGTGTGTGAAGGACGGGTAGCAGGGCACACTGGAAGGACAGGAAGTGATGGAGATCACACAGTGGGAGATGTTTACACAACTCCAACAGCACTCACCACTCAGTTGTATTCAAAGGGGAAAACGTAAAAAGAGACCACAAGGCTCAGTGTTTCTGGTCCTTTCCCTCCACGAGGGCAGAAGGGCAATCATAGTTAACCTCAAGGGCATTTGCAACGGAATGATCCAGAACTGCAAAGTCTAGCAAGGACACTGAATACAAATGAGGATGTGAAACACAAAATCCTAATGCTTTGTCCTCCTTCAGAGGCACCATGCTCACTTACAGTCCTCTCCACGCCCTAACGAGGGAATGTCACTTGGCACGAATTCGAAAAAGAGACATCCGGAGAGAAGTGAAATGTGACTGGTGGTGTTGCTCTAGCTGGTGAAGTGTGTGCTCTGCTGTGTGTCTTCGGATGCTTCTGTGGATGGGCTTTAAATGCTCCAAAAGTCTTGGCATGACTTTTGAAAATTCCCACAAAAAATCTATTTTTATAATTGTTTCAGGTATAGAAGGGAGAAGCCAAAAGTCTTAAAAAATAAACAAACACACATGACTGTATAGATGACATTTGTAGGATTTCCCAAAACTGGAGTTACAGATGGTTGTGAGCCACCTGATTTGGGTGCTGGGAACTGGATCTTCTGCAAGAGTGGTAAGTGTTTTTCTAGCATCATGAATTATGTTCTTTTCTGTTTTTTATTTATTTTATGCGTATGGATATTCTGCCTGCATGTATGTCTGTGTACCACTTGTGTACGGTACCTATGGAGGCAAGAGGAGGGTGTTGGATCCCCCTGGACCTGGGGTTACAGATGATTGTGAGCTACCATGTAGATCCTGGGATTCACACTCATGTCCTCTGTAAGAGTAGCCAGTGCTCTTAACCGTGGAGCCATCTCTCCAGCCCCCATGACTGATGTTCTTAAGAGCTCCATGGAGCCCCATGGACAGTGATTCAGAAGTGTGTGGGGGTTCTATGGCAGCCCTTTGAGTCACTTTGCTGCAGAACTCCACTGGCACCCCGTGTCAGTTCCTGTCTTTTCTGGGTTGACGTCAGAGGCAAGAGTTAGCCCCTTGAGACCATCTTCATCGTCTTGATGAACGTGACACCCAGGGCTCTCTTGGGTGTTCAATCAGTGATGGCTTCAGTGATCGTGTGAATGGACTGCGGGGACCAGTGGAACCCTCAGGTCTGCACCCCATCTGGTCTTGTTGAGATTTGGGAACCCCAACTACATCTGGTAACTTCTCTTCCAGGAGATACACATTTTTCATGGCCATTCTTAAGACATCTGTCAGTTTCCTCCTATTCACTGCCCAAAGACCTACATCTTTTTCTTTCTTTCTTTCTTTCTTTCTTTCTTTCTTTCTTTCTTTCTTTCTTTCTTTCTTTCTTTCTTTTTTTTTTTTTTTTTGGTGGGGGGTGGTGTTTTCAAGACAGGGTTTCTCTGTGGCTTTGGAGCCTGTCCTGGAACTAGCCCTTATAGAGCAGGCTGGTCTCCAGCTCACAGAGATCCACCTGCCTCTGCCTCCCCAGTGCTGGGATTAAAGGCAAGCACCACCAACACTGCCCGGCCACATATTATTTTTTTCATTGCCACGTAAATTATTGTACCCATCATTATGTTTGAAACATGAAATATAAACTTTGATAACAGCCAGGTGGTGGTGGTGCACGCCTTTAATCCCAGCACTCCAGAGGCAGAGGCAGGCAGGTCTCTGTGAGTTCGAGACCAGCCTGGTCTACAGAGTGAGTTCCAGTACAACCTCCAAAGCCACAGAGAAATCCTGTCTCGAAAAAAACCAAAAAAGAAAAAAAAAACTTTGATAACAATATTATGCAAATCATATGAGGTTTAAGGACTGTGGAGAGAGATTCTGAAGGAGAACATTCCAATGTTTTATTAATCCAACCTTGCATATAGCCTGTGTTTTTCATGTGCCCAGTTAAGGCTCCAAAGATTCAGGATGGAGGCTAGATTCTAGTTATTTCACTGAATCTCCATGTAAAACCATTAAATATATCTGTTTTCTGCTGCAGAATATTTGTATACCGTGAAGATGTGTTGCTGTGATTGGTATAATAAAAAGCTGAACCAACAATAGCTAGGCAGGAGAGGATAGGTGGGATATCCGAGGAGAGAAAGGAAGAAGAGAAAGGATTAAGTTGAGACAAAGCCTAAGCTAAAGACCAAGCTTTTATAATTAGTAGTAAGTCTCCATGTCATTATTTGCAAGCTGGTAGTCCCCCCCCCAAAAAAAAAGTACTACAGCAAATGGTATCCAGTGTGAGGCACCATACGTAGTTGGATTTTCCGTTGGTCTGCCAGCTCACAAATAACAACAGGAAGACTTATTAATTATGAATGCTTGGCCATTTGCTTAGTCTTCTCTCACTAGCTCTTATTACTTATTAACCCATTTTTCTATTAATCTACACTGTATAGCATGTCTTTTACCTCTCTCCCATCCTGTATGTCTCACTCGTTTTGTGTCTCCATGGCATCGCCTGTGTGCCTCAATTATCTCCTCTTCCTGACTCTGCCCAGAAGTCCTGCCTCTCTCCCCTGCCTGGCTATTGGCCATTCAGCTTTTTACTACATCAGTCACAGAAATACATCTTCACACAGTGTGCAAGTATTCTGCAACAGTTTTCTTCACTCATTACCACAGAGTTTTAGACCCTTTCAAAAATATACAATGTGATTTTGTTTTTAAAAATGCAGATTACAAGAATAGGTGAAACATTACAAAGACAGAAACAGAGTCATTCTCTGTTTCCATATAGCAAGGCAAAAGTGTGAGCTTTATGTGCATATACTTTAACCCAATTACAAGTTTTCTAAGATAAGTTTTTTATTTTTCTCTGATACCAATTTTTTTTATTTGAATTAGAAACAAGGTTGTTTTACCTGACAATCCCAGTTCCCTTCTCCCTCCCGTCCTCCCCTACAACCCCCCCCAACTAAAATCCTACTTATCACATGTCCTTTCTGCTCCCCCTGGATGGTGAGGCCTTCCATAGGGTTTCATCATAGTCTATCATATCCTTTGGGATAGGGCCTAGGCCCACCCCTGTGTGTCTTGGCTCAGGGAGTATTCCTCTATGTGGAATGGGCTCCCAAGTCCACACCTATGCTAGGGATAAAGTACTGAACTACTACTGCAGGTCTTGTAGATTTCCAAGGTTTCCTCATTGAAACCCATGTTCCTGGGGTCTGGATCATTCCCATGCTGGTATCCCAGCTATCAGT